GGACATCATGCTGGTAGGGTGGAGGGACAGCGCAGGAGGGGAAGACCCTCTATGAGGTGGATTGATTCAGTGACTGGGGTAATCGGGATAGGTGTGTCAGAGGCAATGCGATTGGCACAGGATAGAGCAGGGTTTAGGGCTGTTGTACATAGGGTCGCTAGGAGTCGCAAGTGACTTGACGGCACATAACAACAACAACATGTGAATGATTGTATGAAACAAAATGTAAATGAAAGATTATATAAAACACAATGTATATGAATGAGGCATAATGTGTACAAATAACTCTATGTACACTATTCTCATCATTTGTTCTGCTAAGAATAATGAGAGACTAATTATGAGAAGTCTCAGGTCAACATAATCCCAAATGTTTAGCTCGCTATATGTGTCCATAATTTTTAACATGAACAGCTCTGTCCATGGCTCAGTTCCCCAGTTCCTCTATGGCCTTTGAGATCAGATTTGCTAGAAGATCTCCCAGACCCATCAGGAGAACGACACACGTGACCGTAGATATGTAGCTGGTTTTGGAGAAACTGGTGAGCAATGGGCCAGGGTCTTATAGACTGTCACTTGTGGCTTAATAAGATGGTGACTGTCGGTGATGAAGGCCGGTGGTGTAGAGACTGATGAGCGACTAGATACTGTGTCCTAGGTGAGCAAGCTTTTCCAGAAGAAAAATGTGCCTGTTACTAAGGTCCCATGAATATATATAAGTGGGACTTGTATCCCATCCTAATACTCTCTCCTTAATACAGTAATTGCTTCAATACAAAATATACAGTTAATCATTGGCTGGGGGAAAAGAACACATCTGAATGATAAACTTCAGACACACCAATTTAAAAAGTACCCCCCAAAAAAAGATATCAAAGGGTAAAAAACAAAAAATAATACTTTCTAAGTTATTCAATAGCTTCAAACTTAGATTTTTTTTTTTTATTTGCCACGGTGATTCACAAAGTACTGTCATGGAACCAGTGTAGATGTTTCCATTTTTTAAAAAATGCAAGAGGCAGCTCTTCTTGCCTGATTTCTGCAGAAAGGAAAACCCTTCCTCAGTGTCAGCTGTGTTTCCCTTCACACTCCAGGATATGAGAGAGAGAAAATGCCTTGGTATGAATTCCTCAGAGATGTTCCTCACTCATCCTTTCATCCCTTCCTTTGTCCTCCCAGATGTACCCCCAAGAAGATACGAAATATCATTTACATGTTCCTTCCAATAACAAAGTGGCTGCCCGCATATAAATTCAAGGAGTACGTGCTGGGGGACCTGGTCTCGGGCATAAGCACAGGCGTGCTTCAGCTTCCTCAAGGTGAGTAGAATATATTTCTTTTTTTACCTCACTGTCACTTCCTAAAAAAATTTACTTGAGGTTTTCATGTTTATGTCATTATAATCACAAATTCATTCTTTTGACTGTTAGAAAAACAGTTCTTCTAGAGAATTCTAATAAACTTCCACTGGCTCAGGAAGTTTTCTGAAACGTTTATACCTTAAAAGGTGCCAGGACTATTAGTAATCAAATGTGGTGACGTTTTGCTGCAGAGCAGTACATGTAGCAGCCGGAATAACTTCATGTTAACTCAGTCACTCATTCAGTCAAGTCCATGTTCTGCTGGTACAAGAGATTGTGCTCTACTGAATTCCTCTGCTACTCTGTGATACTGTGTGATAGAATTTAAGAAGATAGTCTTCAGTCTATTCAGGGACAGGTTAGGCTACTTTGGGACATCACTTAGTGTGGTGAAGGGCTGTCTCAGGGCCATAAGTAGGGAATGGAGTAAAGGGCTTTACTATTATAAGCTTTTCAGACTGATATGTGGAGAATGGGTTTGATTAGTGGGGAAAAGTACAAGAATGAAGACACTTATATGAACATAATGTGCAGTGTGGGCAAAGGTAATAATTTGGAAAGCTCTCAATCAGCCGGCCAAAATTCTTATTTCCTTCCAGCATGCTTTCCAGAATCCTCAAATGATTAATTTGTCAAAAATCAATATCCCAGTGTCACTTGCCTGAGTTTTCCATTTTCCAGGTGTCTGGTTTACCAAATTCTATTAAGCAAATGCCTTTCGTGGGGTATAGGACCTTTTTCTACAACTCTCCTGCCATCATTACCCCACAGGCAGTGAAAGGAGCAGATGCAAAGACAAGTCTGGGTGGAATGAGAGACAGAAAAGTGCTCAGTGTCTGAAATGGGAACAGAATCTAGCCTGACATTAAGTCAGATTGGATTGGAAAATCAACAAGAAATGACTGTGAGGAGTGAATGCTGTAAACTAGCATCTCAGAAGAATAGTAAGGAATTTGTCTATTTGGATTTTCATTAAAATTACATTACACATACACACCAAAAAAAAAATTACATTCCACAAATTCCTTTTCAACCATTTAACCTCCTTCCATCTTGAAATGGTGGTGGTCTTGTTAGGTGCCATCGAGTCATGTACACCTCATAGAGACCTTCTGAACAACAGATCTGAACCCTGTGCCTGTCCACCCTGTGCCTTCCTCATTGTCTGACACACTTGAGCCCACTGCTGCAGTCACGATGTCAGTCCATCTCATTGAGGGCCTTCCTCTTTTTTGCTGAACCTTTCCAAGCATTATGACCCTCTCCAGTGAATGGCTTCTCCTAGCAACATGCCCAAAGGATGTGAAACAAAGCTTTGTAATCCTAGCCCCAAAGGAGCCCAGGGGATACTCAGTATTCTTCTCCAGCACCACAGCTCAAAGGCATCAATTCTTCTGCTATCATGTGGTGCTTTTAGAAAGACATATATCTTGTATGAAAAATTTAAATGATGTATCATGTAGGAAAAATCTGCGAGGTTTAGTATCGGATTAATGTTGGGAGAATGTGGAAGAAGAGCGTGTCAAGAATTCTATAAAATTTCTAGACTGCTGAATTGGCTCCCAGGTTTCTGTTTCAAACACTTAGTGGATGAAGGTGCCACTGCACACATATTGAAACAGAATTAAAGGGTAAGTTTTGAACATACTGTATTTCTCCGAGATGTCTTTGAGATTGATAAGTGGATATGAACACTTCATTTATCTTTAATAAGTGTATAGGCTCAGAAGAGAAATATGGGCTAGCACTGTAAATTTGGAAACTGGCAAATAAAGAACATGTAAAATAAGGTAGTTGAACATGTATTGAAAATAAAGAGAGTCAAGGTTAAGCTCTGCCCAACATCAAAGGCCAAAGAGAAAAGGAGGGACCAGCACAGGAGAGTGAAAAGAAGTGACTGGTACTCAAGAAAACTAGGAACATGTGCTATTACAGAAAGGAAGAAATTATTTCAAAACAGGAAATGAACCAAGTGCTGCTGAGAAGCACAGATCATCTTGAATGAAACTTGGACTCAACGAAAAAACCCTCACACCATCAACACAGACCCCAGGAAATTTCTATCCCAACAAATATAGGTCCAAAAGAGTTGTTTGCTGCTGCTGTTGTTGTTGTTATGTGCTGTCAAGTCGACTGCTACTCTTAAGATATCACAGTCTGATACAAGAAAAAGCTTTTTCCTCTTTTACTGTATTATTCACAAAAGAAACTTAACATCACAATAAAACAGACTTGAATATATAGAATTACAAATAGGCAAAAAGACTAACAAAACAAAGAAATTATAGTGGTGGTTTGGGTTACAATAAAAGTAAATCAAGGTTATTTATGTCTAGTCAAACTAAAAAATGTATTTAAGTTCTAAAGATAAACAGGGAAAATGAATTAGACCAAAAGAACTTAAAAACTACATAACAGAAATTCGGTCAGAAAAAAATCACAAAGCAAACTTGAATGGAAAAGATCTTAGTCAGTTGAGCTCTGGTGATCCAGTGGTAATGTCAACCTAAAGGCACGTGGTTTGAATCCACCCTCTGCTCTGCAGAAGGAAAATAAACAATCTTCTCCTGCACAATTTACTGCTTCTGAAAACCCACTGGAGGGCTATAAAACCCTCACTTTTCAATCTTCATTGGTAGAAAATAAAACATATGCAAGACACTTTTTCTTGGAGAGAGACATCATGTGTGGAAAGGTGGAGGTTCAGAAGAGAGGAAACCCCTCAACAAGCTGGTGTGATGATGTAGTGACTGCATCAGCAGGCTCAAGTGTGTCAGAGATGATGGGGAGGTCACATGCTAGGACAAGGCTCAGATCCGCAGTTTGTGAGAACAGTAATGGGTCAGTTCTGACTCAGAGGTTCTTAACAACCACCACCAACATCTCTGTATTAATGAAGGTAGAGAAGTGATGGTTTTGTGGATGTCCCAAATTTTTGGCTCAGGCTCCATCCAAAGCTGAGAACTCAAGTTAACTTTACTGCTTACATATTCTGAAGAGTGATACCAGATAATTTCTAGAGATATAAGTGATGAATCCCAAACTCTTTCTAGGTAACCTTAGTGCATCAGCTCAACAGAATACATAATGTGGGGCGAGAGACGATGAGAAAAGATTTGGAATGAGAACTTTTTTAAAAGATAAATTGGGGCTCCATCATTTCCCTTTGCCTAAAGTCTAGTGAAGAAGACTAGAGAAGAACTTCTCAGAGTCCTGGGCACAAGATGCAGGTGGTACGAAGACTGCTGCCTAATTCTTGCTTAGGGAAAATAAAGGTCTACTTGGAAAATCGTGGGAACTGCCTGTGGCAGCAGAGGAGAGAGTGCCCTCCAGTGGATAGTGCCTGTACTTCATTGTGTCTGGAGGAGGGGGAAGTGCTGAGTTTCTCCCTTTTGGTTATCTGAGCACCCTGGAAGGTGAGGAATATAGAATGTGGGGGGAAGGGAGAACTAAACCCAGAATCAAGTCGGTCTGAGGTCAAGGTTTGATTCCTTTAAAGGGTATCTTGTTGGTACCTTGCTTACCAATGACACGAGCTGACAGACAGAACTGAATGGGTGCTCCTTCAAATAAAAGAGAGGAATCGAAGGGTAAAGTGGAGGAGGCATTGCACTGGCCAGTGAATGGTGCAGCTGGAATTCCTTACAGACAAGTGCTCTCCAATGAACTTGCAAGAACAGTCCATTAAGGACAGCCGGCGTTTGAACATCAACATCGTATTACAACTGCACAATGAAATAAGACTTTGCCCATGCCTAGTTTATGAAAGAGGAACCAGAGAAGACAAAGACATCTACTCTCTCCCAAGAAGGCAGCAAGGAAAATTATTTCAACTTGGACTCCTGTAGTCTTCTCTCCAAAATGCGTGGCTGTCCATTCAGAGCTGGCCTTCCAGTCGGTTTTCCTTGGCAATGAGATTGCCCCCCTCTTCTCTCATGGAACCACTGGTAGATCACAGCACCAGAGAGCTGTGGTGTTTGGATTAGCAACGCCACTCCTATGGATTAGGCCACCAGAGTTCCCCCAGAGAGACAGTGTCACAAATGTGGGCATACACTACACATGTTTTACATGGAAGGTTGGAGTAGAAGCGTAGGGAGGTTAAGACATATAAGTGTAAATTCACATCATTTCAATTTGCTTATCAGAGATAAGCCCAGTAGGCAACATCATGGTAAATGGAGAAAAGATTGGAACTGTTAATTACTTTGTCCACCATCAATAGTTTTGGTACCAGTGGTCAGGAGATCAGGAGAGGTATTGCACTGGGAAAGTCTGCAGTGAGGAACCTCTCCAAATTATCAAGGATCAATGATAGTTTAGTTTGAGGACTAAAGTGCACTTGATTCAGGCCCTGGTCTTTTAAGTCACTTGCGATGCATCCGAGAGCTGGATGATAAATAAGGATGACAGAAGAAGGATTGATGCCTTTGAGCTATGGTAGTGGTGAAGAGTGCTGAATATCCCAAAAGAACAGAGTATGTCTTGAAGAAGGTGCGGCCAGAGTGCTCCTTGGAGGCAAAGGTGATAAACCTCATCTCACATACTTTGAGCATGTTGCTAGGAGGGAAGGACATCCCTTCTTGGAGAAGGACATTATGCTTGGAAAGGTGGAGAGATGGCAAAGGAGAGGAAGACTCAACCAGGTGGATTGACACTGTGACGCAGCAGTGAGCTTGAGTGTGTGCAAGACTGTGAGGATGGCCCAAGACAGGACAGGATTCCGATCTCTCATTCATAGGGTCACTATCAGTCATGTAAGACTTGACAGCCCCTGAGATAAAGAACCGAAAAGAAAAGCACGCCTCACCCCTCTGTGCTCACATCTGTTTCTCTTTCTGCAGGGTTAGCCTTCGCGATGTTGGCGGCGGTGCCTCCAGTGTTTGGCCTGTACTCGTCATTTTACCCTGTGATCATGTATTGCTTCCTTGGAACTTCCAGGCACATATCCATCGGTAAAGCCCCTACTTGATGTTTCAGCACCTATCTTTATGGGAGTCCAAGGTTTGCAGTGTTGTTGTTGTTGTTGTTATGTGCCGTCGAGTCGTTTCCAACTCATAGCGACCCTATGCACAACAGCCCTAAACCCTGCTCTATCCTGCGCCAACCGCACCGCCTCTGACACACCCATCCCGATTACCCCAGTCACCGAATCAATCCATCTCATAGAGGGTCTTCCCCTCCTGCGCTGTCCCTCCACCCTCCCAAGCATGATGTCCCTCTCCAAGGACCCGTCCCTCCTGGAAACATGTCCAAAGTATGTCAGACGAAGCCCCAGAATTCTTGCCTCCAAGGAGTAGCTTGGTTTAATCCTCTCCAGGATGAATCTGTTTGTTTTCCTGGCAGTCCATGGTACATTCAGTACCCTTCTCCAGCACCACAGCTCAAAAGCATCCACTCTCCTTCTGTTCTCCCTAGTCATTGTCCAACTCTCTGATGCATAACAAGCGATTGCAAATACCATGGCCTGTATCAGGTGCACCTTAGTCTCCAGAGAGACACCACTGCTCTTGAGTACTTTAGAGAGGTCCCTAACAGCAGACTTTCCCATCGCGATACGCTTTTTGATTTCCTGACTGCTGGTGCCAAGAGTGTTGACTGTGGAGCCGAGCAAACTGAAGCTGTGAACACTCTCCATCTCTTCGTCATCCATCCTGACGCTGCCAATTGGTCCAGTGGTGAGAATCTTTGTCTTCTTGACATTGAGCCTCAGTTCATACTGAAGGCTGCAGTCCTTGACCCTTCGCAGCAAGTGCATGAGGTCCTCCTCAGTTTTAGCAAGCAGGGTTGTGTCAGAAATCCGTGGTTGATTATTGAAAGATCTGCTAAGAAAAGCTTTTGTTGCTGCACACACAGTTAGGTTTTTTGTTGGTTGCTTTTTACAAAACTGACTCTCCACCGCTCAAGAATTCTAGGACTAATAACATTTGTATGGCCATAGGACAATCAGAAGAAACCATTTTCTTGTAAAGAACAATTGTTGCAATTTGTGAAATGAGATAAATGCTTCATCTCCTAATACAGTTGCATACATTAAGATTTTCTTTGTATTTATTTTAATAATGAGAATTTAAGGTTTTCTTTCTTCTATTTCACATTTTTATTATTGCAGGATTGTATGTGCTTAGAATATTTATAATCAGATGTGTTTGGATTTCATAGTAGGTTAACATTACCTGAAAGCATAACATACACACTATGCTATCTACTGCTGGGTATCAAATACCTAAAGTTAATCTTAAAACATCCCTTTATTACCTCTCACAGTTCCTGTGGGTCAGGATTTCTGAAAAAGCTTGTCTGAGGGGTTCTGGTTCCAGATCTTTTATGACGCTGATAAATTGTAGTTTGAGCTGGAGTAGGAGAGGGTTGGCTGGATCAGTCTGTTCCTTTCTGTTCCCCTGTCCCTCTCCTTTCTTCCCTCCCTCCTTATTTCCTCTATCAGCACCTCCTTCCCTCCCTCCCAACATGTGGTCCCAGGGCTTCTTCACATGGCCTAATTGCACAAGTGTTAAACTCCCAAGGTGGAAACTGCGTCACCTTTTAGTAACTAAACTGGAAGTCACACACTGTGATTTCTGCTGCTTTATTATCTTTTGGGTCACCAGCAAGTCACAAGCCCTCCACGTCTCAAGGAGAGAATAGTGAGTTTTCAGCTTTTCATGGAGAACTTTCAAAATTCCAGGGAGCTGTAGTGTGCTTCCAGCCCAAAAGCAAGTGGTTCAAATTGACCAGCTGGTCCATGGGAGAAAGAGGAACAGTCCTCTCCCCTGTAATTTACAGCCTCTGAAAACCTGTGGTGGGTAAGCTCTGAGTTGGTTCTGATTCAGCATGAATGAGTTGTTATTGTTTGTTGTCAAATTCCCCAAGAATAGATGGATGGATTCTTTAGAGGCCTGTTCTTTCAGAAGTGGATGCCAATCCTTCTTCCACTAAAACCTGTCCACGGTGGGTGATCCCTGTGGCATTTACACACCAGTGGCACAGCATTCAGAATCACAGCAACCCCCAAGTACAGCAAACTGACAAAGAAGTACTATACTCATTAGAACAATGATAGAGAAGCAGGAATATAGATGTCCGAGCAACATAGCACTAGCAACATGCAGAACAGCTCTCCATTACAACAAACTGCTGTCAGTCTCCCAGTTTGGCCCTCTTCATGTCCAAGTCCCAGGCACCAATTCTAAGGGAGGGCTTTCTCTCTCTGGCTTCATCTCACTTACTTTGGACATATTACTAGGAGAGGTTATTCCATGGAGAGGGACATTACGCTTGGGAAAGTAGAAGGATGGCAAAGGAGAGGAAGACCCTCAACCAGGTGGATTGGCACAGTGACCACAGCAATGAACTTGAGGGTGTCGGAGATTGTGAGGATGGCACAGGATAAGACACGGTTCAGGTATCTTTTTGTTAGGGTCGCTATGAGTCATACTTGACTCAACGGCACCTAACAACAACAATATGGATAGGAGATATTGTGGTCATTTTGGGAAAGTACAATCCACCACGTGCACTTTACACACCAGGGCAGTGTATTAAAGCAGTACAAGTTTATTTCAAGGAGATTTTTGTTTGCTTGTTTATTTTTGTGGGCTTTTTTTTTTTTTTTACCTTGCTCATGTCTCTTAGTAATTGGCAACCACAATGTTACATACACTGGAAATCATTTTCCTGGCCGATGATCACTGATGCTTCATTGTTTCAGGCCCTTTTGCTGTTATTAGCTTGATGATTGGTGGTGTGGCTGTTCGATTGGTCCCCGATGATATAGTCATCCCAGGAGGAGTAAATGCCACTAATGGTACAGAAGCAAGAGACGCCTTGAGAGTGAAAGTTGCCATGTCTGTGACCTTGCTCTCAGGAATCATTCAGGTAAAACGCCAAGATGTGCAGCTGAACTTTTTTTTTCTAATAATGCTATTTTATTTACATTTCCCCCCTTTTTTCAGTGTAAAGTTTTGGGGACTTTTTTTAGATAAAATTTTTCTTTTGTACTGGATTACTTACAAAGTTTGTATACATTTTTTTTCACACTGGATCTTTTCCATTTCCTTTACCCACCCCTCCCTCCACCCATCAAATTGTGAGAACCTGTGGTTTACCTCTCCCACCTAGCTGCTGCTCATCCTCATTCTTCTTCTCCCACCCTCCACCCCCTTAGATCCTCATACACTTTCTATAATGGTCTCATACAGTATTTGTCCTTACGACACTGAGTTAGTTCACTTAGCATAATGCTCTCCAGTCCCTCCCAATTTAGGTAGTGATTAACAAAATCATTGCTCCTGTGTGCTGTGTTGTAATCTATCATGTGAATGTACCATAATTTCTCAATCCATTCGATTGTGGTTGGACATTGGGCTGTTTCCATGTGGGGAGATGAACTTTAATTTGTTCATCTGAAGAGTATGTTTTGAGTGCCTTTAGCCAATATTGCTACGTGGTAGACAGAAGGAGCCCATGATCCGAGTTCAGGATTCCTAACTGCCTGAGAGGACCATTACGTCTGCATGCTCTGTGAGAACAGCTAGCAAGCGCTGAGAGGGGCCTGGTGGTGACATGTCAAGCACTCAGCTGCTAACCACAGTGCTGGCACCACAACCATTCGACAGGAGGAAGGTGTAACGGTCTTCTTCCATTAAGACTCCAGTGTCGGAATCCCAACGGACAGTACTCTTCCTTAAGGGCTGCGATGAGACAGCATGGACATAGAATCAATGGCTATGCCCTGGGACCAAAGTCCCGAAGGAGCTCTGATGTCACAGAGGAGGAGTGATCAGTTGCTAACCAAAAGCCCTGATTTAAACTCATGAGTGGCTTCATGGCGGAGGGGGGGAGAACGTGGTCCTTTATCCCCATAAAGATTTCAGCCTCAACACCTTAGAAGTTTATCTGTGGGAATCAGAATCAATTTGACAGCACCCAACAACTACACCTGTTGCACACTTGGAGTGCTACATTCAAAAACAAAACTTAAACCCATCGCCTTTGAGTCAGAACTGACTCACAGCTGACCCTTCAGCAGGCTTTAACTCACACAAGAAGAGATTGCCCATCTTTCTCTCATGGGGCAGCTTGTGGATTCAAACCACATGACTTTGTGTTAGCAATGTAAATTGAAATACGTTTTGAAACATCAGGAAGGGTAAATACTAGAAGAAGACATCTCTTATCTCATTGGAAGGAGCAAGTGCTGATACACTATAGTCCATGACTAAGCATATCCCCAGATCTACCAGATATGTGAAAACCCCAATGCCAGCCAGTGCTTTTATTGAGCTCCAGGCCACTCTGAACCATCCACTGTTTTCAGTATAGCCAGTGAATGATTGGCTAGCTATTTAACTGTAGCAGGTAACCTAAGAAAGTGGTCCAGAACAAACCATTGTGTGTTTTCTATGGACTTTTAACTTCCTGACCTGTCATGTGATTTATTTGTTTCTTTGTCATTAAAAAAAATAGTTTTGCCTAGGTGTCTGCAGGTTCGGATTTGTAGCCATATATCTCACAGAGCCTCTGGTCCGTGGCTTTACCACTGCGGCAGCTGTGCACGTCTTCACCTCCATGCTGAAATACCTGTTTGGAGTTAAAACAAAGCGGTACAGTGGGATATTCTCAGTGGTGTATGTGAGTAAGCAACTTCTGACTCCCTGTGGCTTGACGCTCCTTCGTATTTCCCCCCTTCTCTTCTGAATTCCTTTTACCTTCATGGTTCATTTCCTCCCCTAGAATTTCTGTTGAAAGAAAATCAATTACTGTAGGACTACAAGGAGAGCTTAGCCTTAAAAGCCCATTTTACTAATGCATGATTCTGCCAGCTTCACAGGGAATTTTTGGTTAGGTCTTTATTTGGTGACAATGCTTTTTAACCTAATTATCTGAAGCATTTCCAGAATTCTAAATTGTATTCTGAGAGCAAACAAATAATTTAAAGGAGTAGTGGGGAGAATAAAAGTCTCACAAGGACTGCTAACTTGAGCAGACAGAAAAATAAGAAAGGCTATAAAAAAATGTAACTAACAATTAACCCCATTTAATCTAATAAAATATACATAGACTCTTGAATGCAACTCAGAGAAAGCATAAATTATGTGCAAGCACATGCAGAACAGTGACAACACATGATCATGGTTTAGATCGTGAATACTGAGAAGTCAGACTTTTTTTCCAGAGTGCTTAGTCATCTAGGTATAACTCTAGTAGCCCACCAGTGGGAACCAGAAAACATACTTTTAAAGAACCCACAGATAAAGAAGTTGGGATATAATTAAAACCAGTAGAAGTATTACATATTGACACGTGTAAGATGCTGTTAAAGCTGTTCTTGCAAAGAAAGGCCCATAATCTTTGTAGGTAAATGCCTATATTCTCCCTTGACGTTGTATTAGGCCCTGGGTTACAGAGAAAAGCCTAGAAGATATGGCCCTCGTCCTCTTGGAACTTTAGTCCAATGGGCAGACAGACATTAAACCCATGATAGCTAGAAGCATACTTCTTACAGTGAGATTTCCCTGAATTCCTTCTTACAAAAGAAATCCACCATACCTGCCTATACATCCTTTGGTCATATTGCCAGGAGGGACCAGTCCTTGGAGAAGGACAACAGGCTTGAAAGTGTAGAGAGGCTCAGCACTGAAGAGGAAGACCTGGACAAGATGGATTGACACGATGACTGTGGCAGGGGGCAGAAGTGTCAGAGATGGTGAGATGGGCTCAAGATAAGGCAGGGTTCAGGGCTATTATTGGTCATAGGGTCTCTGTGAGTCATAGTTGACTTGATAGCACATAACACCACCACTCCGGAATGTAACAGGAATTGGTATGTGCCTCGGCTCAGAGAGGTTTCTTGTTCAGTAAGAACTGATTATCTTTGGAGCACCCAGTACTATAGCATGTAATTAAGTGATTTTCTTCAAGGGCTTCAAATGGTTCATTCAAGTTTGACTATCTCTTGACAATTTGTATTTTCACCCTAGCTGTACTGAATCTACCTTTTTACAGGATCTCCAGGTGATTCTTAGGGAATGCTTCTGAGTTCCTGAGAATTGCCTGGAGGATTCTTGGGACTTATTTGAAGTTCTTGAACCTGTTTGAAGCTGTTGCCTTTTTCTCTCTTTCAGGCTTCTTTTCAAACTTCAGAACTATACTCATTTCAAAGCCCACCTGATCTCCCTTTCTTCCACGAACAAGGATTTCTACCTGGGTCCACTCCTGAGAGCTTTGCTTTGTTTGTACCTTTTGATTGATTTGCTGCTATCATACCTTAATTGTTTCCTACTGCTCAGGACTCACCTTTAGCATTACTTTTCTGGATTGTACAGTACTACAGTATCAGGGTATCAAAAAACATGATCTGATTGTTGAATAAGAACTACACTATAAATCTTCAGGATTGAGTAGAAATACCTCCTCGTTGGTGAAAACCACAAAGAGCTATTTCACCTGGAAACCTTTAACTAGAATGTCCGGTATGACCTGAATTGATGGTTAGGGCTTCTCCATTCAGGAGCTGTTTCTTGATATAAACACCCAGTGTTCACTGTGTTACAGAGTACAGTTGCTGTGTTGCAGAATGTTAAAAACCTCAACGTGTGTTCCCTAGGCGTCGGCCTGATGGTTTTTGGTTTGCTGTTGGGTGGCAAGGAATTTAATGAGAGGTTTAAAGAGAAATTACCGGCACCCATTCCTTTAGAGTTTTTTGCGGTAAGTCAACTCATGACAATGATTTGTTTAACTTTTAAACTATATGCATTCAACTGTTTCTACTGTGAAGAATTTCAAAGTGGATAAGAAGGAACAGAGACTTGTTTTCCACTCACTTCTATCAACAAATTATAATTCATCAAAGAGAATCTAAAAATATAAGATGCAAAAGTAAAAAGCATTAAAATTGAAACAAATTATTTTATAGACACACAAGAAGTCCATATACAAACATTTTAACACTCTTTCTCAGTTGTAGAATTGTGAAATATTTGCTTTTTCTAATTTTCTATCATCTAATTGTTTGTAATGAGCATGTCTTACTTAAAAAAAAAGCCAACAAGAAACTCTTCGCTACCAAGTCAATTCCATCTTAAAGCAACCCTAAAATACAGAGAATTGTTCCATGGGAATTCCAAGGCTGTAAATCTTTACAGAAATAGCTTCTTCTATCACCATGGAAAAGCTGGATGGTTTGATTAGCAGCCAAGCACCGAAACACTGTGCACCAGGAATAAAGTTGATTCTGTTTTAAAAACAATACAAAGATCTTAAACTTTCTTGGTTCTTAGCCCTCCATCTTGATCAAAAGAAATATCTAGCAATTCTGTTGATTAAGCGGTAAGCACAAAATGACTTAGTGTGTATGTCTAACAATATAGTGTCTCTTTTTTAAAAAAGTCACAATTATATGGAAAGAAATATATTCTTTTATAGTTAAATAGCTGCAGTAGTTTTATTAATGAAATGTGTGTGCCTAGGAGCACAATGTTGTTGTTGTTAGGTGCTGTGAAAGAAACAGATACAAAATGGGGATGGCCAAATCTGACTTCTGCCAACTTCATAAAGAGGAAGTGTCTCAATCAGTAATAGCCATAGCACCGTACATATGGCCAGACATGCCACTCCCATGCTCCTGCGCCTGTTTCTACAGTCATTGGTTACCAATCATTGAGTCTGATGTCTGTTGCAAGACTCATCAACTTAACTCGTAATTATGGAGTTTATTAAGGAAATAGGATGGAGAGTTGGAAAAGGCAAAGAATAGTTCATGATGCAAGTCTAGGTTTAGTAAAGAAGTCCCAAGCCAGATTAGCAAAACACAATTCCTCAATTAGAGTCCAGGTTGGTTCAGTTCAACAACACAAATGCAACAAGCCTCTGGTTTCCTCAATCATCCAGAAAAATTTCTCTCAGAGCAGTTGTAAGTCAGCTTTCCTTCAGTCATCCAGCAAGCGAACTTTTAACTATGCTCCTATCTCCAGGGTTCCTCTGTTTACACCTTGCTACAGTCTCTTCACCGCAGTGCCCCAGTCTCTTAACAGTTTCTCTGTCACCGTCATGCCTCCACAGTCTGTTCACCACCATCTCTCAGAGTGTAGAAAGCATTCTCTTATATTGTTCCCGTGGCTGTTGATGATTTGCAGGATCATGTGTCTGTAGTAAAGGTAGCTGGAGACCATGCCCCTAATGGGCTAGAAAAGCCAATTTTCAAGGGTTCTTGTATCCTAGGTGCCTTTGAGTCAAGTACAATTTCTAGTGACCGTGTTAGCAACAGATCTGAACTTTGCCCTATCCTGCACCATCCTCATTATTTCTGACACACTCAAGCCTGTTGTTGCAGTCAAGTCCACCTGGTTGAAGGTATTCCTCTCCTTCATTGTCCCTCCACTTTTCTAAATATGATGCCCCTTTCCAGGGAATAGCTTCTGCTAGCAACATGCCGAAAGTCTGTGAAATGAAACTTTGTCATCTTTGACGTCAACCAGCACTCTGGCTCCACCTGTTCCATGCCATATCTGTGTTCTTTTGCCAGCCCATAGGGTATTCAACACTCTTCTCCAGCACTGCAGTTCAAAGGCACCAATTCTTCCTCTGTCATCCCCATTCATTGTTCAGCTCTCAGAATGCATAGCAAGTGACTTAAAAGACCAGGGCCTGAATCAAGTGTACTTTAGTCCTCAAACTGACATCATTGGTCCTTGATCATTTGGAGAGGTCCTTCGCTGCAGACTTTCCCAGTGCAGTATATCTCCTGATCTCCTGTCTGCTGGGAACAAGTGTAAGGAGCACCTACAGTTTCTCAAATCTTAAAATCAAATTAGACTCATTTACACTCCACATGGGGAAGTCTGGTCACCTAGTAAGTTTTGTGCTGCCAACTCAAAACGTTTGGATGCAACAATTGCTCCAATGAAGAAAGATGGGCAGTCTCTTTCTATGCTATTTATAGCCTTTGAAAACCTTCTAGAGGGTCAATTATGAGTCAGTTCTGACATGATGACAATAAATTTGACAAAACCACCCCATCTAAAGGATCCCTGGTAGCACAGTTAAGCATTCTACTGCTAGCCCAAAGATCTATGGTTTGAAACGGCAAGTGGCTCAGTTTAAAAAAAAAAAAAAAGCAAAAAAGCTGCACAATCTGTAGAGATTACAGTCTTGAAAATGCTGTCAGACAATTCTACTGTCTTACAGGGTTGTTATGAGTTGAAATAAACTCAGTGTTAAGGGTTTGGGCTTATTGTTGGGTTGGAGGTTTTTAACTCCAAATTGGGTCCACGTTGATCTTTGCGTAGTGCCAAGATGTTGGCAATTCAAACCCACCAGCTTCTCCATAAGAGAAAAGTCAAAAAAATTGCTACCATAAAGATTACAGCCTTGACAGGCCAATGAAACAGCTCTCCTCTGTCCTTTATTGTCACTGTGAGTTGGAATCAACTTGATGGCACTCAACAACTACGTCCTATTTTTTATCACAAAACCACTGAAAATTCAGCTTTGTAAAGATACACTGATGGAAGGGAATGTCATGCAAACTCAAAGTATGAACTACTTCAAACAGGAAGTTTGCACAATATCTAACAGATGCCACGGCTTCCCTTCAAGCTTTATATTGTCCCACAGGGTCTCTATCAACTCCTTTGAATACCTTCGGGCACCTTGAGGCATAATTTGGGAAGGAGAATAAGAAGCTAAAAGCTTAGATGTCCGATCCACATTAAGCACAAAATTCCAGCCACAGAAAGAACTGACTGGCACAGCTCAAAGGAGCTGCTGCTTTTCATCTTTTTCCTCACTTTGGTCTTGTCCACAGAGATGGCCAGACTATTTCAAAACCTGCTCTCTTAATACAAGAGACAAAATTTTTGTTTCTTCTTAAAATCTAAGAACTGCTTTGTAGCTCCATTGCAAGAGTAAGAAGACCTTACCTTACCCACTGTCGTCAATTCCAACTTAGAACAACCCTGTAAGACAGAGAACCACCTCATAGAGTTTCTGAGGCTGTGGGTCTTTATGGGAGCAGAGTGCCTCATCTTTCTCCTGCACAACAGCTAATGGTTTGAACTGCTGATCTTTTCGTTAGTAGCCCAGTGCTAAACTCACTATGCTACCAGGGCCTCTGGAAAAAGAGGCTCTAAGTATAAAGTTGGTGATAAAAGTTTCTTTGCCTGGTTTGGGTTGCTTGTTCTTTTTCCCAGATTCCCTTTACAGATTCCTTATTTCCTGGGGGAACAGTTCTTAAGAATTCCTCATTGCTCTTGTATGCCATTGAGTCAGACCATCTCACAGCTGGCACTCCAGCAATGTTCAGAGGCTGCAGAGTGCACGAGAGGAGATTGTTTATCTTTTTCTCGAGGAGCAATTGGTGGATTCAAACCACCTGCCTTTGAGTTGTCAGTGAAACTCTTTACCCACTAGGCCACCAGAGTTCCATAACTGCTACTAGGTGTCATCAAGTCAATTTCAGCTCATAGCATCTCACGTAACAGTAGAACTGACTCATAGGGCTTGCTCAGCTGTACTCTTTACAGAGAAGTTTACCAGATCTTTCTCCTGCTAAGCCATTGTGTGGGTTAAAACAGCCAACCTTTTGGTGAGTAGCCCAGAAGTTCACTACATGTCTCCACCTGAGTCCTATCCTTGTAGTTACAGCCTTTTTTAAAAAAAAATTAAATTTTATTAATTTT